GGGCATTATTTCCACGTCCTTATGCAAGAGCAGCACCACAAAGCACAGGATTCTTGATTTGATGGCATAGTCCACTTTCATAATTGTACCCTGTGATTTAATTGAGAAATCAGTATTATTCTGGTGGGGAAAGCCCGTCAAGATTATCTGTGTTTTAAATACTGGGCAACAGGATGGTTCCACAAGAGCTCCTGAACATGGATGTGAAGGATCTTGCAATGGTGGTTTGAGAGAGCCGGGAATTCCATGAAAACCCTCTGAAGATAAAAGCCTTGAATATGCATTGTTGTCCCACAGCAGCTGCACAAAGGCCTGGGAAAGTGATGTCTGAAGATTTGAGCTTTGATTTAATATGAGATTTTGAAGGACAGCCGTGCAAAAGCCCAGAAGAGTTCAGGAGAATCAGAACCATTGCAATGCCATTTATACTGTTAATTTATATTATTTTAATTGAAGTTATTTATGTTGTGAGCTGCCCCGAGGCTTCGGCGAATGGGGCGGCATAGAAATTTTCTAAATAAATAAATAAATGCCAGAGAACATGGGACCTGCGGTGTTTTAGTTGCAATTCATGAAAAATGGTACAAGTTGTGATTTGGTGACTGTTGGTGGGGGAGCTCCATGCAAAATTCATGAAGTTCCATTATGGGGTATGCATTATACCATGTTTTTTGTGCCACAAATATACCAGATTAGTTACTTTTATGGTGAAGAGTATAATGTTGGATGGTGGGTTCTGCAGAATTCTGCACATGAAGAACTGGAGACCCAGATGAGTGCAATCTCCCCGTAAACTCAATTTCTGACTTAGTTTACCTGCAATTTGGGTTGGCTATTGTAGTGCAGGTAGACAATACTTCGTCTACAACAGCTCCATCCTTGGGCAACAACGCTCCGCCCCCGGTTATCATTCTCCGATCTTTCCCCTAAAACCCGATGGCGTTTCTCCTATTGATCTTGCTGTTCCTCCAAGGACTTCTCGCTGCTCAGGCGCGCGTAGAAGCCAGGCCAAGGCTGGCAGTTTCACTGATTCCGTTGAAGCAGTGAGGAAATATAATGATCATTGGCAGTCCCGTTTCATCGGTGCTTCAAAAAAAGCAAACCCACCGCGAGACGAGCGAGACCCCCTAAGGACGGGATGCGCCGTGCTCCTTAGCCGGCAGGGGACGTCCTTGCCACGCCACACACGCCTCAGTTACCGCCCCCCCCCCACCTCAGGAGCAGAGCGGGGGTGGGCAGCCGCGGCCCGGACTGCTGCCCTCTGCAGAGCTTGCACCGAGGGCGCGCACGATCACCGGACGCGGGCGGGGGGGGGGGGGGCGGCGCTGCGCGCGTCGCGCAGGAAGGAGCGGGCAGGGAAACATTTGCCCGGGCCAAGGAGAGCTTGTGCCGGGAAAGGGGTGCGCTTTAAGGTGTTAGCCAGACTTTGCGCTTTGCCACTCTGGTATGCAGCAATCCTGTACGGAAAGTTACGTGGAAGAAAGTGCCACTGGATTCGGGGAGGTTAACTTCACACTGGACGTGCATGCATAGGAGCAGGGGCGGTGTAAGGTACTCAAGAGATCTGGGGCTCAGGGCCACCGGACAAAATACAGGAAAGCGCATATTTGCGTATGATCTAAAGTCTCTCTGCGTGCAGAAGACCCTCGCTCCTAAGGGCACCCTTAGTGGTCGGGGCAGGTGAGAGCAGCGCATCTGCTTTCGGGGAAAAAGGCAGGAAAGCTCAAGGTGGCTGGGGGGGGGGGGGGGGGGGAGCAGGAAGTGAAGCAGATGTGGACAAAATGCCAGGCCATCCAGGGGGATCAGATTCCACGCAGATCATCGGGGCCCTGTTCCTTCGTTTCAGCAAGCATCTATGGACAACACGGTGGTGGGTGGTGGCCTCACAGAAATAGAGGGCTAGGGCCCCAGCGGGCCCGCTTTTACTGCGGTATCTGAAGGTTATTCTCCTCAGGGAATCTCCTTTCCTGAAGAGGGAGGGAGCAGATTTCTGGTGGAACAGCGAGCAATTGAGTGCACTTGCCTGCACATTTTCCTTCCTTTTATTGAAAGGAAGGCGTGTGGGGGGGGGGGGGGGAGAGGAAGCAGACTGAACCGAAAGGAGAGGATCTCCTTAACGCGCCCCTGACTGGCCCAGAGGACTTCGTATAAATGAGGGCTGCCCTAGCGCTCTCGATCTGCTTTGCATACGGGAGTTCAGTCCAGGACCGTATGAACATCATGATGATGGATGCCTATTAGGACATCACGGAGCGAGCAACCACAAACAGCCCCAAGCACCTCTCGGCTGAGGTCGTGTGGTCCAGGCCGACTTTGAACTTGAGCAAGAAATCAAACTGGGCTCACACCGCGCCTTCCTCTTGGAAAGGCGCCCGCAGCCGAGCCTGGACTCTGCAGACCGAGCCGGGCAGCTGCTTCCGCCTCTGCCCAGCGTCGCGCACCACTCTCTCGTTACCGAAGTGCTTCATGCACGGAAAGAGAGCGAGACCCGGGAGGCCATTCCCAGCTGGTGCTGCCTGCCGCGGCCCCCAAAGGGAGCCTTCCCATTCCCGCAGGGCTCCTCGCAAGAGGAAACGGAGAGGACTTGCTTTCCCGCCCCTCGTGCGCGCCCCGAAGCGCGGCGGAGCTGCTCGGGTGCCGGATTTTGGCGCGCGCCCGCGAAGCAGGCACTTCTGCCGTGCGTGGGCGTGTTTACACCGCCCGGCGACCCTCCCCCACCCCCGCAGCTCATTCACACGGTGCTGGCACGCTTACGCACGCGCTCGCTCGCTCTCTCCCGAGCAGTTATCCAATTGGCTGCTCACCCTGGAGGCCCGAAGGGCGGAAAATAAATCGTCACGGCCAAGCCCGCGGTGATTGGCGAAGCTCTTCGCACATCACGGCTCTTCGGAATCGCCCTGCAGCTGTTGCTCTGGAACATCAGGACCTGTGACGTCCTACCCACTCCTATTAATCTTCCAGCTGCTGCTGCTGCTGCGTTTACCCCCCCCCCCCCAACTACCTCTCCCGCCCCGTCTCTCCTTCATCTTCCCGCAGGAAGTGTGACAGCCTCCTCTTCACCTATGCTCAAGCAGTCAACTACCCATCCTGCTCTCTGTCATGCCTCTAAAGACCTGCGCACCAATATATAAAGAGGAATTCAATTTGCGCAGGCGGAGTCCCTCGAAAACCGCGCTTTATCCCTAGTTTGCTCAGCTGTCAGGTTATTATTGTGTGGTTCCGTACTGAAGAATCATATTGGAGGAAACAAAAAGAGTGAGTTTTCTTTGTGCAATCCCCTTTCCCCCCAGTTGTGCATGCGTGATCAATTACAAACTTTTTCGTTTCCAGGAACATGTACTGCTGAGTAAGTGTCGTATAGCATTTCGTCTTGGTTGTGTTTTGCTTTTGTTTAATGGTACACTAAAGGGGTTCAGCTGCTGTTGAGGCACACGATTTCTGTTGTTTACTTGTGTTGTGCTTCGGGTACGTAGCCTGAGTGTTTTGAGGGCAATTCTATCTAGCAATGTGCATTTATCGGAGGGTGAGGAAAACGAAGACTCGCATTTTATGGTGTCAGATCCACGGTAGGCTGAGAAGTCCGTTCCGGAGAATAAACAGAACGAAGGAGGAGGAGATGCCATTTTAATTGGGCCAGTTTCACCCGCTGAAAGGATGTGTTTTAGATGTGCAGGACTGCTGGATTGGTAGACTGGGGGGCGATAAGAAAAAAGCCAGACCCCTCATTTGTGTGGCCCTCGCGACAACAGGTGTGTGCGCGCGGAGGGGGGAAGGGGGGCTGGAAATCTCGGCTAATTTCATTTCTGGCCAGTTCTTGACGGTATTCTTATTTTTAGCTGCCTTCAACGTAAGGACCTCAGTGTTCCTTTTATTTCCAGTCTTGTCCCGAAACATTTTGGATCATCTTTTAATTTTTTTCTCAGAAGTTAGCTCCTTCTTACTGCACTAAGCCGTATTTCCAAGGATGGCGTTAGAATCTAAGGTTCTGGCTACCAGGAACCTGTGTCCCACAGAGCCTTATTCTGAGCGTGCAAACGCCAAGACCGTCTTTATTTTTTTTTTAATGGAAATAAAATATCTGGACCCGAATGGCCCTTGTTGCTTCATTTTCTTTAACACTCGCCTGGAGGGACGTTGACGTCCTTCTCCCGGCTTATATAAGTAGCTTCAAAAGCCATAAGGAGTAATTTCTGCTTCACTGGATTGCTTTTTCTCAGTCCCTCCGGGAACTGCACAATAGTGAGTGCGCCACCACCGGATTCTTGCGAACCCCCCTCCCGTCTCACTCTGTGAACGTCACTGTCGGGTTTTCATCAATGGGGATTTACCGCGCCTGGATGTGTGGGTAGAAGGCATCCTTCCCTCGGAGCGCAGCCCCTTGCTCCTCTTTCGGGGCTAGTTTCGTGACCTTAAGCTGCAAGGAGCGTTGTGCGCAGGGAAAGCCCTGGAAATCCCAAGAGCGTCTTTCAAGAGAGGCAAGGCAGCCCCCTCCCCTTCCCAGACCCTCAGATGGCTGCATATTCTCCAGCCGTCGCCAGAGCTGCGTCGGATCCGATCCCCCGGTGGAAACGCAGCCCGCCCCTTCGGCCCAACACGATCGCGAAGCGCACATTCAGCAGGGAGAGCCAATGAACGTGCCACATGCTGCGGACATGACCCCTTCCCCCACCTCCCGCCTCCTTCCCGGTGCTCTCCCATTGACTCGGTAAAGGAGGGACGGCAGACCTTTCCCCTGCCCCCCCCCCCCCCGTTTCGGAGATTGCAATCTCCTTCCAGGAAGTTCCGGCAGGATCCAGATCATTCCAACTTTCACCTTTGGGGAGAGATTTTTTAAAAAAATATTTTGACACCAGAGGGAAAAGGAGGAGGAAGCGATCTCGCAAAGCGCAGGGACCAGCTGTTTATGCAAATAAATGGGCGTGCCGGGGAAGTGGGAAGCGACGGCGGGGGGAGGAGGAAGCGGCCGCGGCGCCCATATGTAGATGAGAGGGGCGTGGGGAGCGGAGGGCGATCCGGATCCCCGGAAGAGCGAGGAACCCCATATAAAAAACTACTGAAGACCCTTCCGAGCAGAAGTAGCGAAAGCTCTGGGGGCGGGCTGGCGGCGGAGCGGAGCGGAGCGGAGCAGAGCAGAGCAGAGCAGGCGGGTGCCGTTCGCCGGAGACCGCGCGCCGCCGCTGCGCGCTGGCGGAGGAAGGGCGCGAGCAGCGGGACATGACTGCGTAGATCCACCCGCGTAAGCGTTGCCCGCCGCGCCGGGCTGCTGCTGCTGCAGCTCGTCCGGCCGTGCGTAGGTGGACGGTCCGCTTGCACGATCTGGCTTCGAGCTCAGCCGCCTCCTGAACCGTTGCCGTCCGTCGGAAAGAGCTCGCTCACTTCGCTCGCTCACACGCATGCACGCCCGCACGCCCCGACTGCAGGTGATCAGCAGCGAGCGCGGGTGTGTATCTTGGTGCGCAGCAAAGGATCGGGACGGGGGGCGGGCGGAGAAGCGAGGCGCTGGAAATCGGTGCCCCTCGAGCGGCGGGCGGGCGAGCGAGCCAGCCGGGGGGGCCTGCGCGCGCGCGGTGTTTGTGCAGCTTCTTTCTAAAGCGCCTCTCGGCACCAGATGGACTTGCCACTTTCTCTTGGAGGGGGAGGGGAAATTAAAGCCGGTGGCGAGGGAGGTGGGAGGGGAAGAGACCGAAAGCTGCGATCCTTAAAACGTTTCTGCACCAGACGGGCTTCGGCCAAGAATAAGCGATTTGAGGATCGCGGGGCCACACTTCGGTGCACTGATCGCTTTTACTTGCATTTCTCCTCTGCCTTTGCTAGGAGTGGAAGAGGAAGAAATCTAGAAAAGGAAACGACGCCTTTTCTGTTTTAGATAGTTTTGCTGCTGTTGTCGATTGTGCACGGCGCTGGACCATGGCAGACGAGGAAAACGCGCTCGGCAGCGGCGGCGGCAGCGGCGACGGCGGAGGCAGCCCGAGCGGGGGGGCCGCCCAGGAGCCGTGCCCGGGGTGCTGCGAGAACAGCCGCTGCAACGTGCTCAGCTGGGAACAAGTGCAGCGCCTGGACCGTATCCTGAGCGAGACCATCCCGATCCACGGCCGGGGCAACTTCCCCACGCTGGAGATGCAGCCGCGGCAGATCGTGAAGGTGGTGAGGAGCCGCCTGGAGGAGAAGCGCATCGGCGTGCGCGATGTGCGCCTCAACGGCTCGGCGGCCAGCCACGTCTTGCACCAGGACAGCGGCCTGGGTTACAAGGACTTGGACCTCATCTTCTGCGCGGACCTGAAGGGCGAAGGCGAGTTCCAGACGGTCAAAGACGTGGTCTTGGACTGCCTTTTGGATTTCTTACCGGAAGGGGTTAATAAGGAGAAGATCACCCCGCTGACCCTGAAGGTAAATTTCGCCCCTACACACACGGCCGTTCCCAGCGGGCTGGGGGGAGATCTGTTTTCTCTTCCTCGCTCTGCAAAAAGGGGCTGCCGCGGAGCAGGGGAGGCGAGGGGCCTGGAATGCGGCTGATGCAGCCGCTGAGTCGCTGCTGTTCTTTCGCTTTGTGCTAAAAGTACAAAGTAGTGTCTGTCCCGCGGGGCGGCAGAATTAATGGTACGTGAGCACGGCCTGCCCTTCCCCCTTTAAACTTATTGAAATACCGCCTTGGAATGACTCGTTTAAATGATTTTTAAAAGTGGGGAGAATAGATGTATGTTAATAATCAACTTAATTCTTCTTTGCCTGCAAAGAGGAAAGAGGCCTGTGTTCCTTCGTTTAGTTACAACCTGATCCATCGCTGAGGTAAGCCAGAGTGGATGGATTTAAGCTGATTAGTTCTACTGATTTTTCATTAGAGTGAGTTGTCTAAGCTACTGTTACTTCATTTTAATTGGATTGTGGATGAGACCACTAGAGGGAAATGGTGCTCCTCTCTTTTCCTCCCTTGAGAATGGGATGTGAAAGCTGAATTCATTGTGCCTGGGTGCCCTTACTGATTCTATTCTGTTATCCGTTCAAGTATTTTGAGAGAGGGCTCTATTTCCTTTACTTCCTGAGATCGTTCTTCCAATTACGGGTCCTTACCATCGCTCCTTTCCAGTTTCAGGGAAACCCTATTACTACAGGAGAAGTAGCTTAACTGGGTTGTGGGTTGGACAGTGAGATGTCCAAGTCTTCTGGTCTGAGTTGTTAATTTTCGGCAGTTGCTTTGCTTTCGAACAGGGCAAATGTGAGACTATTTTGAAATTCCTAGAATAAGACTGAGAATCTGACCATCATCACCCTTGCAGTTATACTGCATTTTCATTGCAATCTTCCAAAGCAGCTCCTCCTCCAACACTGTGGAAGTCTGTTTATTTGGTGTGGATCCATTTCGTATCTTTGGAAGAAAAAAAAAAACGCAATAAAATCCTTACAGAATATGTCCTTTGTGCAGTCACCGTGCCATGAACACTCCTTCTCCCTTTGGTCGTTTGCAGCTGCATGTCTGCAAACCACATGCTAAATCTGTCTACAGTGTCTCTTTCTTATGCCTGGGCTCTGTGATTGCAGCCTGCTGCAAGCTTGGGCCAAGGTGGAGCTGGGATCAAATGCAAATGAAGGCTTGAAAAAGGAGGTGCTTTTCTAGGTTTCCTGATCTGCTCCTTTTCCCCTCCCCTGTATGTGTTTCAAACTGTAGGAAGCCTATGTGCAGAAAATGGTGAAAGTGTGCAATGATTCTGACCGGTGGAGTCTCATATCCTTGTCCAACAACAGCGGCAAAAATGTGGAGCTGAAATTTGTGGACTCGCTGAGAAGGCAGTTTGAGTTCAGCGTAGATTCTTTCCAGATCAAGCTAGACTCTCTCCTCCTTTTTTATGAATGTTCAGAAAACCCAATGACTGAAACTTTTCACCCAACTATCATTGGAGAGAGTGTGTATGGGGATTTCCAAGAAGCCTTTGATCACCTTTGCAACAAAGTAATTGCTACCAGAAACCCAGAAGAGATCCGAGGAGGTGGTCTCCTGAAGTACTGCAATCTCCTAGTAAGAGGCTTTAGGGCCGCCTCAGAATCCGAAATTAAGTCCCTTCAGAGATACATGTGCTCAAGGTTCTTCATTGACTTCTCAGACATTGGAGAACAGCAGCGGAAGCTGGAGTCGTACTTGCAGAACCACTTTGTGGGACTGGAGGACCGCAAGTATGACTATCTCATGACCCTGCACGGCGTGGTGAATGAGAGCACGGTTTGCCTGATGGGGCACGAGAGGAGGCAGACGTTAAATCTGATCACCATGCTGGCCATCCGCGTCCTGGCCGAGCAAAACATCATTCCCAACGTGGCCAATGTCACTTGCTACTACCAGCCAGCCCCCTACGTGGCAGACGCCAACTTCAGCAATTACTACATTGCCCAGGTTCAGCCAGTGTTTCCGTGTCAGCAGCACACCTACTCGACCTGGTTGCCCTGCAATTAGCCGTTTTCCTAGCCTTCGCGGGGAACGTGTTTTCTATCGAGCAAGCAAAGGGGGAGGGCTGCCCTCCCCTTTCTAAAATGGGGTGGGGGGTTGTGTCATGGTGGTCTGCTCTAGCTTTTAAGCTCGAGGAAAGCCGTTGGTTCTTCTGTTTAATGTAAGGGACCATGATTTAGGAAGAACCAAAACCTTATTGGATTTCCACCCCAGAGCACGAGGCCTGTCATGGAAAGCACAGACGTCCCTTGAAAGGAACCAGGGATGTGTGCTTGGTGACAATATGGGTCGGCAATGCCTCCTCCCATAGCTATGACATAGAGAGAGTTGGGAAGCCTCTATTTTTTCAATGGGATCTACAAAAATAGAAATCAAGGGGGGTGAGAATACAAACAGGGAAAGCTAGATATATGGTTTAGATGTTTAGAGACCTAATGCACAGATAAGTAGGAATCAGATATATTTTGGAATCACTGCCTTTGGAGCGTGCATGAAGTGCTATCAGTGGAGGGATCCCATAGAATGTATAGCTTGCTTGCATAGAATGCTTTCGGAAAAATAGCTTGCTCCAGACAAAGAGCAGTAGATGGGTACAGTTATTTCAAAAAGAGACATGGGCGGGGGGAGAGTAGGATTAGGGTAAATGTCATTATTTCCAGCTGCGTGCATTCTTCACATTTTATTTAAAAATGTGGAAAAGCAGGAAGAGCAGCTGTAGCAAGCAACATATGCTTCAGGACCAAAGATTTCACAGATAAGTTATCCAAGCAAAGAGGAGGACAGAGTAAAGTATATAAAAAGAGTTTACTATATTTGTACACATGCATATTCAACAAAAGTGCCTGATGCCTTCAGAAGATTTGAAGTGAGAAAAATATAGTTTTGTGGTTTAACCTTGCGTTTTGTTTTTATCAGGGACACAAGAAACTAAAAATAAGCTTGTGAATAAATGGTGGAGGAAATGCCTATTTTTTTTCCTGGCAAATATCGATATAAAGTTTATAATGTTGGTGTGATGTTATCATAGGTACGCGTGTGTATGTGTGTGTTTATTGTGTGTGTGTGTATGTGTGTGTGTATATATATATGTAACATGTTACATGTATATATACACACAACATTTTAAATAAGGTCTAGGAAAATGTAGCAATTTTAAGGAATGTTCTAAATAAAATATGTGTTTTCCAGTCTACAGCAGGCTATCATAATACTGTGGGCACTTTGCAGAGACAGTTGTGATCCCATAGCAGAAAATCTGGATAAACAAAATAGTCTTAAATAAAGTGGGATTCAAATTACACAGTTGCACAAACAGACAAAATTATTCACTGGGTTACTTGTGAGCCACAACAGTTTCATACCCGCACAAGCATTTTGCTTCTCTTAATTTGTACTGTTTTGACACTCAGCTCACTATTTTCATACTCCATATATTCATTATATATAAGACATCCATTGGAATGTGGTTCAAACAGGTAGTCCCCGCGGAAGGATATTTAGTTGGTGATTTGCATACTTATTAATATTTTTCATAAAAAGCAAGCAGAATGTACTGTGCATTCCAAGACCACTAGAAGTTAGACAATGTGAAATGAAGCAGTATGGAGAGTATTACACGGATGTTTAAAATTTATATGGTGTGTGTGTGTGTATTATGCAACAATTAAACATCTTTCATTTGGTTGTCACACTGCATTTTCCAGCTCAGTACTGTACCAAAAACCCAATCATGTTTTTGTTTGGAACAAATAATGACAATTCTTTCACATGACAAGTGGAGAGCTGAGGAATAGTGTTATTGAGATTTTTTTTTCCTGTAGTGTTGATCATACCAAAGACAACCAAGTCTTATTTTTTGCCCCTCAAGCCACTAGTTCTTAAAACCAAACAAAATTTAACCCGATACCTTGGTCACATTCAAATGCAGGAGCGAATTGCTCATAAATGTATTCTCTTAAGTCCATTAAGGTCTCTGGGCTCAAACGCTGGCTGAATGCTAAGCGCCGTGGTCCCACAGGGCAAAGTGAGCCATGGTGCCGCACTGCAGAATCCGGTGGGGCAGTGCGCGCTGACCTGTCCAGTGTGACCCCTCGAGTGGAAGGTTCTGCAACGTGTTAACCAGGCAACTTGGTCTCCTTTCATCCCAGCAAAGCTGCTGGCAAGGTCTTTTCCTTTCACCCATTTGAAAGGACTGACGCTGTCCCGTTTTTACCATCTTTTTATCTCCAAAGCCAGTTTAACATGACTGCCATTTGTTTGCTCATGTCTCTTCCCTGAGAATTTTGCAGGAAACGGCCTATCATTGTCCCAACACGGAAACCCCTGTCATCACTTTGCTTTGCAGCCTTCTGATGCCTGTTGGCTATGGCCTGTTTTCCAAATAAAAGAAAATAAACATATTTGGGGCAGTGCTCAGTTATGAAAGTGAAATGTTTGTTTCTATCATCCCGTTCTCATCAGCAGCAAATTAAGAGAAGTGCACTTGGTCAGAATCAGAGCTGAGTCTGTATTTGTTCAGCGGGCTTTCTGACAGGAGCTGTGCTGAAGGCTGGGGAAATAGGATCAGCTGGTAATGTGGTATGTCCTTTCTTGCCACAGTGATTCTGCTGCAAATAAATGAGTCATCCACTCCTGCAAAGGGTTTGGGGACCTCTGGCAGTGCCTGAGCCACAAAATGCTGATAATACGTGAGGTATTTCCTCTGGGGCAGCCTTCTCCATCTTTTATTTCATTTTTAATGGCTGTGGTGGTGGTGGTTGCTCTGGGAATTACAAGTCAGCCTCGCTGCCTCAAACTTTAGCTATATTTTATGGCGAGCAGCAAACTCTTTTATAGTGCCCACTTAGGGCTCGGCTCCCTTGATTTCAAAATACTATTTCTCTCTCTCCTTCAAGGGTCTGGTGATCTTCTTTAACCTGTATACATGTTCCAGAGTAACAGTCATAGGGAGTTGTTACAGCTGGCTGGTGCCTTTTGTTTTAACCACAGGGGTTAGTGATGAGAAGCCATCCGGTGCAGAACCTACACAAGAGCTTTTGTGGTTGACACACACAGCCCCCAGCAAGTGCACACGCCTCCAATTTTAATAGACTAGTATGGTCACCAGGAGAAAAAACCCTTCAGGATCCTGTGCTGTATTCATTCAGCAGAATTTAAGATTAGGTTGGTAAGGAACAAGAGTTTTTTCCTTTAGATTATTAGCATTAAGATGCCTCAGTTACAGTCAAATAGTTCGTGTTTCTGCTAGATTAAGTGTGATTGATCAGCACAGTTCTGGCAAGTGTAGAGGGGTTAGTGCAAAGCAACGACACCAGATTATTTTAAAATGCAAGAGAATCCAAAAGCATTTCAATAGTGGTTGTCCTGAAACTCTCACTGGCCCACGTCTGCTGTGTGGACCCCAAATGGATCACATACCCTTGCTGCACCTATGTAAATATCATTCTTGCCTATCCACTTCTTTGTCAGCTGCAGGTCATTCAGTTCAGATAACTGGATTTGTACTGTCTATATAATCTGTAATATGCAAAGGCAAAGCAAGAAAATCTTTGAAAGGAAGCAAACAAATACTAGGAGTCAACTAAATTGCCAGCGGGATTCTTGTTTTCATAACTTCTTATTTAAATGCTTTAAAAATTATTTGCTGCTAGGTATTGCACAATGTTTCATGCACAGCTTAGAAATACCTGTTGTAAAATGCTTTATATGCGAGTTGTGTTGTACTGAAGGCTCTTATCACTTCAGATAAAGCTTTAAAGAGTTCATGGAAATAAAAAAAATGTTTAAAGGAAGAAGAAAAGGAGAGAGAAAGAAATATATATATCTAATGACGTATTCAGCACTTTTTTGTTCTTTTAAAAATTATTTTATTTTTTTGGCAATGACTTTTTATTTCCTTGCAATGGAGAAAATCCAAACTTCATCAGCAGGTTTTGCTGTTTGCTATTATTGCAACTAGTTAAGCATCAGAAAAACCTACAGGTTTTAGGACACGTTTCGTGTTGCTCCGCAAACGCTTGCAGTCTGTGGGAAGTGATGCCGATTTTGTTCTCCTTCAGAATTCCACACAGCCATTGTCTTCGGTGAGGTATCCTGTTGCATCGGACTGCTCCCGTGACTGATCTTTTGGGAACTTTTGACTCTGGGTTCCACTGGAGTTTGAAATGAGCAGCAGATGGAAAATGGACACTTTTTAACCAACAAAAGTGTTTGCTTCTGTGCTAGAGGGAACAGATTGTGAATTTTGTTTACAGCATCCAATATTTGGATTTCTTTTTGTAAATAAAATGTTATTTTTTCTATTTATTTGTGTTTGTTCTTTTTGGTATCTAAATTCTAGCCTTTTTGTGCCAAGTAGCAATTGGTTTTACTTTCAGTTAGAAAGGACAAAGCAGCAGATTTTCCAAGAAGTAGCTTTTTGATTGCAGGGCAGTATAAATCTGGAAAGCCCAGATGTGGACTTCATTGGCAATGAATGAACCCAGGTAGCAGGTGCTAAAGATCTGTCTGCATACTAGCTGAGTAAAATAAATGACTGAAGCATCAGAACACCAACCTCCTACAAATCCCATCAAAGCAGATAGTCAAAAGTTGCATGCTTTGGGTTGGACCTAATCTCATGCCTGTTTAGCGTAGTACCATTGATACCAATGGGACTTGAGTTTGTGGATGCAGCTAATTTATGTATTGCATTTAAGTCCCACTTTTCTTTCAAAGAAACCAAGGAAGTGGTTTGATCCACCGCCATTTTATTTTTGAGTATGAGAGTCAGTGAATGGCCCAAAGACAGATGGGACCTTAATGGCAGAGCAGGGACTAGAACTGGGTTTCCCCAGCCATGGTCCAACAGTCTATAGCCTCTACACTACATCCAATCCCTTTGGAATGCTGCCCAAATGTCAGAAGCAGCCCTACCTTATAGGATCATTTAGTGAGCACCTTCCCCTTTATTACAAGACAAAAGCTGTTCTCCAGACCAGGCAGGAGAGCATTGGTGCCTTTCCTTGCATTGGGTGATGCTTGCAAGCACTTTGCAATAAACTTTTCAGAGGGAATGGCCTTTTAGATCATCACTCCATGAAAACTGCTGCAACTCTTTGAGCATCTTCACAACAGTGCTGTGAAACTTAACAAATTATTATTATTATTATTACATTTTTATACTGCCCATAGCCAAGACTCTCTAGGCAGTTGACAGTAATAATTATAGAATCATACACTCAAGTCACCCATCCCAATTCTGACCAGGCCTGACCTTGCTTAGCTTCCAAGATTAGGCAGGATCAGGCACTTCAGGCTACAGGGAAGCATATATGCTGGCTAGGTGCACCATCTGTGCATGGGTTGCTTTGGTGCAGGCCTCGCTAGATGCTGAGGAGGGAAAAAGCCATTTGACTCATTCATCCAAGCAAAAGAGCTGCCCCAGTCAAAAATGTTAAAAACAGCAACACGTACACAGAAAGAAAGGCAGTGTTGTTGTAAAGTGCTCGCACTTTATAAATCTAAAATATTTTGAATCCAGCTCATTTTTTCAGGAAAATGTGTATAACATTTCCATAGCACATCTCTAAGTCAAATATCATAGACAATTCCCTGAAGAAGAGTCTAGAAGCATATTGGCTGTGTAAAGATTTACAAATTAGTATTTTGGAATGCTCTTGGATTTTTTTTTTTCTCCTCTGAGGAAAATAATCCCAAGTCTAGACTCATAAAAAGGAAGTGCTTCCAGACCTCAAATAGAGAGCTTTTACACCGCTGTGATGAGATGTTGGTTTCCTTTTGACATTACTTTCACAGTTTCAGAGCTCCTAAAGGTAAGGTTATACGTAGCTCCTAACAGTAAGTTTGTAGTTGCTCATCCTCCACATCTCAGCATGATTTCTCTCAGAAACCAAGACCACTCTGGAATGGGTAATCGCTCTAGAGATGCTTCCAGTACAACTGTTTCGTGCCAGGAAGGTACCCAGTAGGAATGCTTCATCTGGCAACTTAGGAAAGTGAGAAATCTCATGGATGCATGATGGTGTGCTGGATTGTTTCCCAAAAAAGCAGCAGGAAAGAAACGTGGTAAGGCATCCATTTTGGGCAGTGAAGAGAGGAACCTTCCAGTGTACAATAAAAACCCAGTGTGTATGAATAATTGTTCTTCATAATTCTTTTAAACATTAAATTCTTTTAAACATTAAATTCCAGCAAGTGTGATGATACCAGGTTGGAATTCGATGTTCAAGAGTGTCCCTGAGGAAAAAAAATGGTTATTCAGGATGTGCAGGGCTTAATGAGAAATGTTTTATTTTCTCGTACACCTTGCCTGATGTTTGCTTCACCTTTAAATTATCACGAGCATAGTCTGCCCGTTAGCTTGCTGACTTTTTGTCACTTTCATGTTATATAGTTGCTGAAAGCAGATCAAATTATAAATGTTTCTGCCACTTTAGCCCCCAGAAGATTCTGGGAATTGTTCTAATTTGGCAAGTTCCTGAGAATTCATCCTCTACCAACTCCATGTCTCCGGGTTCCCTGGGAAAAGGGAATGACAGCTTCAAGTTTATAAATGTGCATTTGTCTTAAGGGTTGATTGCAATGGGATGTGTTTTGGAACAATTCTCATGAAGAAATGCTTGAGAAAAATGCTAAAGCAAATTGCGGGTGGGGAAATCTACACGGATGTTGCAAGAATATTTATCACCAGGATATTTCTGTAACTTCTCGTGTATTTTTCCTGGAAATTCTATATGCTGATATGCATGTGTTTAATATTGTCTTTTCCATAAGTACCTCTAAATGGGAATTGTCCTAAATCATATGTAAGTAAGAAAAATATATTTTATTGGATCCATTTCTCCATAAAATTGGCCTGTTTCTCCATTTACTCAGAATGTCTAATCTCAAATGACTTGGCATACCATTGTAACTTTAAGGCTAAAATTTACTGCACAAATGTGTTCCGAATCGGACCCAAATCATCCCACTGTCTGGGACAAAGGAGGAGTGACCTAACTAAAGAACTAACATTTTCACACCACTCTGTATGTACAGCCAATGCTGATGTAAGGGTACATCTGGGTGTGTGTTTGTGTGCTCATCAAAGGAAGAATCTGAGCTCTAGAAAATTGGATTGTATCTCATTAATTTATTGTTTACCCTACACTTCTTCCAAGGAACTCCTGATTGGTGTATGTGGGCCTCTTCTCACATTCTGCATTTTATCCTTAAACTAAAGCTAGGAGATAGCAATGTCTGAGGAGAGATCAATCTGTTGCAGCAAAAAGAAGCAGACAAAAAACAAACACAAACACAAACAAGCTTTGTGGCACTTTAAATCACTATTTCCAATTTGCCACTTTCTATGTTTTACAACACGTCTCCCAGAACTATTGAGTATTGGCCAAAGCACCTATTTTTTAATTTATTTATTTAGAATTTTTGTATGCCGTCCCATCGCATAGCCTTGGGACGGCTTACATAAAATAAATATAATACAAATAAAATCCAGATTCACCCTGGCTGCAAATTAAAACCTATAGATGATATTAAAAGTTATTAAAATATTGTTTAAATAAAAACATCTTAGCCTGGCGCCAAAAAACAAATAACGAAGGTGCCTGGCGGACCTCTCTGGGGAGTGCATGCCAAAGGCGGGGTGCCACCGCAGAGAAAGTCCTCCTCAGGGTACTTTGCCTCCTGATGTCTTTCACAGAGGGTTCCTGGAGGAGGGCCTCTGCCACCCATCTCAAGGGTCGGGAGGGCAAATATGGATGCAGGCGTTCCTTTAGGTATCCAGGTCCCAAGCCGTTAAGGGTTTTATAAGTAATAACCAGCACCTTGAATTGAGCCCAGACTTCGATGGGGAGCCAGTGAAGCTGGTAGAGGACTGGGGTTATGTGAGAATAACACCCAGTCCCCTTCAGCAACCTGGCCGCTCTATTTTGCACCATCTGAGGTATCCGGACTGTCTTCAAGGGCAGCCCCATGTAGAGCGCGTTACCGAAATCCAATCTAGCCAGGGAAGGGTGCCTTACAGACAAATGTTTATCCTAGCATAAGCTTTCACAGGCACTGTCCACATCAGCAGAGGTATCCAATGACATGGGCAGGGTGTACAAAAGGTTATGTCAGCATGGCTTAATGAGTCTCTAAGGTGCCATGAGATACTTTGCTGTTTTTTCTTTTGGGGTAAATTAGGCTCAGAGAGTGACAGGGTGAAGCAGTAGCTGAACCTGATTCCAGTCCTAGACCAACACAAACAACTACCCCAGGAGCTTACAGGTAGCCCGTTTTTTTAAATTAAAATTTCCCTTGATTTTTCATTTTTAAAATAAAATGAAATGCACGTGCATGAAATGCATATGACATTCAAGCAATTATGCATAGGCTTCAACAAAAGCAGACCAAAAATTCAAATAAATATCCATTTGAAGATGGTCCTCAGTCTATTGCATTATAGGAGGTGTGTTTTTATCCTTCCAGGGTTGTAATATGAGCCTTCTAGCTGTCAAAACAACATAGAAAATCTATTTACACTGAGAATTTGTTAGCTTCTACGAACAAATGGTTTAACAGGAAAATAGCTTAAAAGAGTATGCCTATCAGAATGTGTCAGTACAAAACTGTATGTAATAACTCACCCCACCACAAGAAAAGAAGCAACTTCTAGACATTAGCAAGCATATATTTAAAAGAAGCATTAGCTGTATCGCACCACCAGCAATTAACGGAATTGGACAATCCCTTATTAAAGAGAAGTTGCAGTGTCCAGCAGACACAAAATGAGAGTTGTTGCTGAGTAAGTCACAGGGCAAAATGCATAACGGTGACAGGTGGATGCCAAAGCAGCAATCCACTGATTAGCCCTTTTTGAGATCATATCCACAACACATTCTCCTGTCCCCAAATGAGAAACGTTACAGGGAATTGTGCTGGAATGCTATTTTGGTGGGGAGATCTCATCCAAAGGTCCATGACCACACTATTGAGACTGGTCACACTGGCACTTTTCTGCTGGTGGAAAGACCTACATGATCAGCCCCACCAATTTGGTTGCAGGCCTTTTGGCAGCCTATGCACAAGTCAAAGGCAGAAACGCATTAGCTAAAAAAAAAGGAAAGAAAGAAAGAAAGAAGTGATAGTGTGATAACAATTCAGCAGCTTTATGAAGCATGCAACAGAAATCACAAAACACTCCTGAAATATACAGCTTTATTTCTCTCTCTCTATCTGCAGTTTACTCTCAAATGCATTTATCACTGAGTCACTAGACTCTCCTGAGAATCTTTGCCTTTAACCGAAACAGGGCCCTGGCTTGT